CTGAAATTGCTTTCGCTGGAACCATGGCCTGTTTTTGACCTGCCATAGGTCAGAGACCTTTCAAGGTACATCGCAATTTTTTATTTAAAACGATTCGCTATTTAAATGTCTACAGCTATGGAAAATTTGGCCCGGCTACGCCGCGCCGTTCGGAAACCATTCTGGAAAAACCTTTGGGAGGTCAGTTTGACCCCCACACGAGCGCGTGTTAAAGGAAATGTTCCACGCTTGCATAGGGTTTCGAACTGAAATAGCCACATTGAATATCATTCGGAGCAGCTCAAAGCCCTGTCGTTCTTAAGATATAGATCCCTCTAGTTTCTGCCTTAGACGTCCAGGAAGATTTGCAGGCTTTTTTGGGGAGACTATTTCAATGCCACCCAGACACCCATGACGTCATAATACCCTCGTTTGAATCCTGCCATTTCCTTAGCCAAGCGACGATCAAGACCCAGAAAATATAATTGTCGATTCGTTCATATCTGACTTAAGTGGACATGATACCTATACAAAACGGTTGTCAATTGGCTCTCAATCAATGTTGTGTGAGGTACGATGACGTAATCAAACAATGACGTATTGAGGACCACATTTACTACACATATAAATGTGTTGATTAGAGTAGTATTATCCGCTTGGCAGTCATATACCAATAGTTATAAGTGAGCTTATTTCATCTGATGAAGCTCGCCTCATTATCTTTGAATATTGAACACTTTCGTGAAGTGCGAGTCGGAAAAGGAAGCTTGAGGACCGGCCGTTAGGACGGCCGCCTTTCGGTGACATATGGGTGCTACCTGAGCCCGGGACCGAAACGAAACAGTGGGTGCTACCTGAGCCCGGGACTGAAACGGAGCAATGGGTGCTACCCGAGCCCGGGACCGAAACGGAGCAATGGGTGCTACCTGAGCCCGGGACCGAAACGGAGCAATGGGTGCTACCTGAGCCCGGGATCAAAACGGAGCAACGGGTGTTACCTGAGCCCGGGACCGAAACGGAGCAACGGGTGCTACCTGAGCCCGGGATTGAAACGAAACAATGGGTGCTACCTGAGCCCGGGATCGAAACGAAACAATGGGTGCTACCTAAGCCCGGGATCGAAACGGAGCAACGCTCCAGGCTTCGGAAGCGTCCGACGTGGCTCATTACCTCTCGGCGCGCCCGACAGCGGGCCGCGTGGTCTAACGAGACTGCCGGTCCCCGCAGGCTCGCGGCGCTCCCGGCACCGGCGCGCGCCATCACGTCAGCGTGGACGTCACAGGCAGCTGCTGACCTCCGCCCAGACTTTGCGAGCGCGCATGCTGGATTGTGAGACATCCGCACAGCAGGGATCATTATAAAGGAAATGTTCCACAGTTGAGGATATTCACGAAATATAAGGTGTGATGAAATAGGCTCACGTATGCTATTGGTGTACTTTTAAGTGGAAAGGCTGTACTACACAACACAATTTCTATGTTTCGAAAATATGCTCTTCAATACGTCATTGCATTTTGCACAGCACTGGTTAAGAGCCAGTTGACGGCTGTTGTATCTGAAAATCATGCTCACGGTTGCTAGATTTAAACGATTCGACAAGGATATTTTTATTGGCTTCGATTGCCGGATGGCCAACGGAATGGCAGGATTTGAATGACGCTAGTATATCGGCATAGATATCTGGGTAGCCTTGAAATAGTCTCCCCAAAAAAGTCGGCACACATTCGCGGGCGTGTAGCTCATAAACCAGAGCGATTTAGGTCTTGAAAAGGTCAGGCAGGATGGCGATTTCAGTTCAAAACCGCACACAAATGTGGAGCACTCTCTTTCATTTGTTGGCCTGTGGTAGCAAGCGCTTCGCGAATCACATAAAGATAAGGATTTGGTGTTCATCCGCGGGTTGGATCGGATGGGACTAGAAATTTCCACCAAACGATAGATAACAATCGAACTGGATTTTACGATACGCCAGCTGACGCGGTGAAAAGCAGACTGAACAAAGATATGTCATCTCCGAAATTGCTTAGAAATGTTTTTGATAACTTCACGAAGGAAACTGTAGAACATTTTCGCAACCTATGTAAAACCACATCTTCATCGCTGCCTTCAGACAGTGGGAAAATACGTGTCGGAAGGCCTTGCATGCCTTGTCGCATGTTTGCGACAAGACTTTAAGAGCTTGAAAAAGCAACTAGCGTGAGGTTAACAAGGGCAACTAAATTGGTTACGAAAGTGTAGCGTACACCCCATGAAGAAAGGCTTAGACAGCTTTAGACCTGCAAGATGGTGGAGTAAATCTCAAGAACAGATTTGGCTGAAACAATGTTTTTACTGGCAAAGTGAGCGTGAGCCCTACCCAGCTCTCAAACTAAGCAGAAGGACCAGAATAAGAGGACACTTCTTGAAACTATGCAAAAACGACCTAACCTCAAGTTTGAGCCAATTGTTGTTGTTTTTTAACCCGATCATAACAGAATGAAACAGCCGTCACAAAAGTGTAGCCATGATCTCAACACATGCTTTTAAAGCTAAGCTTGATCAACACTACGCCGGAGTCATGCCTTCCTTGCTCGTTTGCTTACGGTGAAACGAATAAACCGCCGTACAGTTTGTCGATTCGCGCGCTCTTTATTGCGATCCCAGTACATAAAGTTGTTTGACGTGTCAAGGGTCAATGATGAACAATTTTGTGTTTCATCAACTCGTGGAGCACGACGCTGAACACCTACACGTCTCATGCTTGTCCACTGATGGAGGTACACTGACTGCCAACCTCCATATTTGCAATCGTGGCACAACAAGATTTTCTATGCCTCAGCAATTACTCTTGAGCGTGTCGCCACACGACCTCTTCCACCCGGCAGAGTAATCGTAAACTTCGCTGCCGCCGCTGCATGGTTGCAATAGCGTGCATAACT